TTGTTAGTTTTCCTGTTTAACCTTTTGAAAGTCCTTAATGTTTTTGTATTTCATAGTTTTCATAATCATAAACTGTAGCATTTTACTCTTAGGATAATAATCTATGGTGTATTTCAGCTCTCTGATAGAATTTCAGTTGCCTAAAGCATAGAAGGATATTTGCAGTTCTAAGTCTTAAACCTGATTCTGAGTTTCTCCACTGTCAGCTTCAGTTCAGGTTTCTCAGATCTGCTGAAGTCAGTTACTTTTTATCTACTTTCTATCTTTATTTGTGTTCTTGCTATTGTATTTTCTCCCATTGTTCATTTTTAATGGATTTTAACTTTTAAAGAAACCCCTTTACAGTCATTTTGTTAAGTTTGGAGATGAAGGAAAAGTAAATGTCTTTGTTTAACCAACTGTCTTTACTTAGAAGTCTGTAAGTTAACTTTTTATATGTTTATTTTGTCTTTAAAATTTTCTGTTACAAAAAACCCATGTTTTCCTAGTAGTAATAATAAAAATTGGGTTATGAATCATTTAATGCTACTGTTGAAGAATACTTACTGAAAATGCCCACAGTGTACAATTACATGAAGAAAGCAGATAGTTAAATTTTGTAAAATTAGCTGAGAATTGGAAGGGAATATAGGAAAACTATTTTTGGATAATGGGCTTTTGGGTGGTTAGTTTTTTCTTAGTACCTTTTTACTTTTTTCCAAATATTCTTCAATATGCATAAATGTCTTTTATAATTGAACAATTATTTTTTTCTTTCTCTAAAGATTGAGTTATGTGCCTGAATGATAATATTTCATGAAATTACGGATAACTTATAAATGATTATCTAACTATGCCATTTATCCAGAGGACATACCTGATTTTATTAGGTTTACTTTGGTATTCAAATTTATATGTAATGAAGTTTGTTGAAGTGAAGGAAATTATCCATAGTAATATTATGTAAAGATAACCCACAGTAATATAGCCTTTCATAATTATTTTTTAACATGTTCACAGGGAAAAAATAGTAATAGAAATCTATTTAGATTGTGCATAATGTTTCATTGTGCCCTGATATTTTTACTTTTCTAATGTAACATTACATGAACATCTTCTGTTAATAGAAATGTGTGTGTGTGTGTACATATAACTGTTAATATAGTTACATTTATGACTTTTCCATCAGGAACACTTGACAAAATAGCCTTTGTGTCTTATATGTATCATTGTGTGGAAACTGATAAGGTGTTTTAGTCTAAATGTTTTGGATTTTAATATTTAGAAAATCCATTTTGGTTGAGTAAAGTTTTGTTTGTAACTTAACTTTTTAAGTTTGTTTGTAATTTAACTTTTTAAAATTTATTTTTCAAACATTTACAATATACAGATTTTTGGTTTACCCAAATCTTCCTTATCTTAGGTCATGCTAAATGTGTTGAAGTTGTAAAAACTTTTAACTTACCGTTACTGATGCTTGGAGGAGGTGGCTACACAATTCGTAATGTTGCTCGATGTTGGACATATGAGACTGCTGTTGCCCTTGATTGTGAGATTCCTAATG